TGTGTAACCAACTCAGGTTCATAAAGGAGCTGTATTGCCAACGGGTAAATGTTCTGACCATTTTTCACCATGTACGTTTTGATGTAGCATAAAGTAATAATAGAGTCTTGATTTTATGCCAATGAATGCCGTTTAAGTGGCTAAGTAAAATAGCTGATGTGGAGAACAGAATTAAACCATTGGAAATCACCAGTCAAGTCTTACAAAGGCATGTGCAGCTTAATGTACGCTTTGAGAAAAAGAGCAATGGCTGAAATGCTATCAACAAAGTTTAAATGTATTATGCAGTATAACAGAGTTGAACAACTGAAAGCTTGCAAGCAGATTAGGCAGTGGAGCTTCAGCAGAAATTCAATAAACATAGAGCAATGCAGAAGAAAAAAATTATGACCTCTTTGGTAATTGTTGCAACTTGGCTTGTATTTGAGTAGGTAAGTGTATAGCTCAGTAAATGTATCAACTTAGTGTTTAGTGCTAATCAAACCAAATTGAAGGTAAACAATTATCCTGGAAGTATTAGAGAACAAAACACAATCATTAAACCACTATGCAAGTCCACAGAGTGCATTACGTTGTGCTCTGAATTCAGAAGAAGCGTGTCACACAAATGAACAGTATTTGTGAGGGAAGATCCCAGGCTTCACTGGGGTGATTACACACTGTGAAACTAGTTTCATTTTCTAACAATTTTTAAACACCGTCTTAGGTGTTTAAACAATAGGACAAGGGGACATGGGCTCAAGCTCTGCCAGGGGAGGTTTAGGTTAGATGTTAGGAAGAAATTCTTTACAGAGAGGGTAATCAGGCATTGGAATGGCCTACCCAGAGAGGTGGTTTCACCATCCCTGGAGGTTTTTAAGCAGAGATTGGATGTGGCCCTTAGTTCCATGCTATAGTAATTGGAGTTGGATCAGGGGTTGGACTTGATGATCTTGGAGGTCTTTTCCAACCCAATCTGTTCTATGATTCTATGATTCTTATTGATGTAGCATAAAATAATATAGCCATGATTGTATGCTGATGAATGTATTCCTCTTAAGCACTTCTGGAAACTTAGTTGTGTTTAAAATCCACCTATTTTTAGACAGAAATAGTTGATTTTTTTTAATTGCTTGTACTTGTGTATTTTAACACTTGTCAATATCCATCTAAAGTGAACTCTGTGCAGCAACATTCCAAGATGAGGTTTCTTGTTTTCCCCATTGATGAGCAAATTCTCATAGTGATGGAGTTGTGCACAAGGTTTTACACAAATAAGAGACATGACCTCTGAATCCCTACATTTTCTTTTTATATATTTGTTTTCCTCCATGTACTCATTTCGTTAATAACCTTCTAGAGGTGGTTTTGAGATTTTGTGGTAGGAATTCCACCTCAAGTTCTGGCAAGCATAGCATAGATGCAGTAAGGAATCTAAAACAAAAAAAGTGAAAAAATATTTAATATGGAATCATAGAATCATTGAATCACTTAGGTTGGAAAAGAACTTTAAGATCATTGAGTCCAACGTGTAGCCCAACACATCCAAGTCTGTCACTAAACCATGTCCCTAAGTGCCACATTTACACATCTTTTGAATAGTTCCAGGGATGGTTACTCAACCACTTCCCTGGGCAGCCTATTCCAAAACTTGACAACCCTTTTGGTGAAGGAATTCTTCCTGACATCCGATCTAACCCTCCCCTGATGCATTTGAAGCCGTTTCCTCTTGTTCAGTTACTTGGGAGAAGAGGCTGACCCCCACCTCACTACATTGTCCTTTCAGGTAACTGTAGATAATACTGTGCCCCCCCTCATCTGCCTTTTCTCCAGGTTAAACCATCTCAGCTATCTCAGCTGCTTCTCATAAGACTTGTGCTCCAGACCCTTTACCAGCTTTACTGCTCTGCTCTGGACGTGCTCCCATCTCTGTGTCTTTCTTGTAGTGAGGGACCCAAAATTGAATGCAGTAACCTCACCACATCCTTGTAGTCCTTCAGAGTTGCCAGCTGCTTCTTCCAAAAGTCATAACCCCTGTTTTTTCCCTGAGTTCCAGCCAAAGCTCCCTGCTCAGCCAGACTGGTCTTCCCTGCTACGTTATCTTTTGGCACAGGGGAACAGCCTGCTCCTGTAACTTAAGATTTCATTCTTGAAGAATGTCCAGCCCCTTTGCCTTTCAGGACTACCTACCGAGAGACTCTGTCAACCAAACCCCTAAACAGACCAAAGTCCACCCTCTGGAAGTCCAAGGTAGCAGTTCTGATGGCAGCTCTCCTTACTTCTCCAAGAATCAAAACTATCATTTCATGATTGCCGTGCCCAATGGCACGGCCTCCAGTCATCACATCACCTGCCAGCCCTTCTTTGTTCATAAACAATGCATCCAGCAGGACACCTTCCCTAGATGGCTCACTTCCTTTGCAGAATATGGAGGAGCTTCATGAGTTAGCAAAATTAATTGTAGATTTGACCACTTTTTTGAGGAAATTGTTTGCAGAGATTTATTTTGTTTGCTTTAATAAATAGCTGGTTTTATAATAGCTTGTATCCTATATCTACCATACAATATTGCATGCTGCTTGTAGCTTCAGTGAACACAGAGGCATTATTACTTAAAGATCCAGCAAACTACTTTCTTAATATGAAAAAACCCCATAGTCTTTATTCTCTTTTTTTTTTTTTATTTTAATTATAAAATGTCTGTTTAATTGCTGTTTGTTCTAGTGAATGGTAAATGATTTGGATTTTCTTTTCTCACAGTGTCATGGAGCTATATTAGCTGGCAATGTCATATTATATAATATTTGCCTTCAATTTTCTTAAGAAGAATAAATTCTTTGTTTAAAGATGGTTTTGGTATTTGTATGTGTTATTTACTACCAAATGCAAAGAAACAAGTTTTCCAATAATCTAGAATAATGCGGGAAAAGATAACATTTTCATTGATGCAGATCCAGCCATCTGGAAATAGAAAGATCCTTCTTCAGATGCAATAGCAGAACTGTAATTCAGTCATTGAAGGATTTAAGTAGACTACTTGAAAAGTGTCAGAGAAACTGAATTTTTAGATAGTACAATACATCTGTTTCTCAAATGTAAAAAAGACTAAGATGAAGCCTGTGTCATTGAATTACATTTTGAAATGATGATTGCAAGCATAATTAAACATTCACTGTTAAATAAGTAACTGAGAGAAGGGTAAACTTCCCTAGCATCCTTTAAAAAATCCCTTTGGTACATAGAACTGTTTAATCAGGGAAAAAATCTTTGAAAGAGTGAACAAAACAAGAAAGATGTGGAGAAAAAATATCCACATTATATGGAAATTATTATATGGGAATTATACGGAAAAAATTGCTCTAAAGTGTATTTTAGTCTTTGCTCCCCCATAAAATTCTGGATTGATTTAATTCATATAGAAGTCAATTTATTATGCTTAAAAATGTGAGGTTTGAAAACTGTTATTTTAGCAAGTATAATGGTAGGTGTCACTGTAGATTGAATTCATTGATCGAAGTTATACTTTGCAGTCATTCTAATTTTCTGCTATTTTCCTAAAGTGAAGGATGTGTGTTAGAGGATCCCTTTGAATGGTTTCTTTAGTATATAAAGCTGAATGCTTTGCTTGGTGCTTTTCATTTGGCTATGATACTAATAACCCCACGTGTATACTCTGATTGCCTGGTTTACATTGCAAGTCTTATATGTATATGGTTTTCATGACTATGTATAACTCAAAGTCTTTCAGAATTCTCTTTTTCCTTGTGAAGCACTGGAATTTTTCCTTTGACTTAAAAGGATTAGGGGAATGCACTGATGACTGCTATACTTAGGCACACCATTTTGTTCTTCACGTTCACCATCCATTTGAATGGAAGGGTGCTTTTGTTTTTCATGAAAGAGACTAATAGCAGCTCTCAAACCCCATTTTAAGATTAGGTTCTCTTGTGTTTGTGGCAGGTACCTCTCTTCTTTGCTAGCCCAAGACATAGGAATTATAATTTGATTTAGTTGTGCCCATCTTAAACTGTTTTATTAGAGTTTTTAAGGTCAGTTTAAGGTCACTGTATGCTGGAAATGGTGGCCCTGACTTGCTTCCAGTTTTTATTTTTTCTGAAAAATTTTGCAAGGTGACTTTGTCTCCAGGGCTAGCTAGGGTTAGTATCTTTCTTTTGGTACCAGTCTTTTTAACTTGAGAACTAAAACACTGTTGAAACTTGTCCTCTAAGTCTTTTGTTCTCTCACTTTATGTCAGTTTACTAGAATGCTGACCCTTGAATTTTTCATGAATTTTTGTTCTACAGTGCTCAAGTTCTGTGTATGCCCATATATCCAAATTTTCTGAAAAATACATAAGGAAAAGACCTTCTTTCCTAGAGGGTATAAAAGAAAGGTAGGCCCTCTGTCCTAAAGGGTGCATAATTCTCTTGAAGTGGGTTTTTAATTTCTAAAGTATGCCTTGTCTGTATTTTTGCAGTGATGGAAGTAGTGAGAATTAAGTGTTTTCCTACTGCTACAATTTTATTATCTCAATGGATAACTTAACATGAAAACTCTCTGAAGAGAATCTCCTGTATTGCTTTTTAAAATGTGTTATTTTATAAAGAAAGGCTTTATTTCATAAAAAATGAATGACAGATGCTTGACAACCCACTCTGGTTTTCTCCTTTCTGTAACATCATTGACTCATATTAATATTTAAATCTGAAATGTGAGATAATAGGGATTCTGTACCAGTTGGAAATGTCTAGTGGAAGGTCTTTATCAAAGAAATAAGATCTAGTTGTTCTATACCTAATTTCTAAAGAAACAGCTTTTCTGATTATCTATACATCTGTGATCACCATAGCATTAACTTTCAGGATTCCTAGTTTCAGCTGGGATAGAGTTAGTTTTGTTCCTAGTAGCTGGTACAGTGCTGCTTGCTTGGGTTCAGTGTGAGAATAATATTTGTAACGCAGTAATGTGTTGCTTGTTGCTGAGTAATGCTTACCCCACATCAAGGACCTTCCAGTCCTTGCTCTTCTAGTGAGGAGATGCAAAAGACACCAGGAGGGAGCTCAGCCAGGACAGTTGACCTGTCTGAATTGGCCAAAGGGATATTCCGTAGCATAGAACATCATGCTCTGTTTATAAACTGGTGAGAGTTGGCTGGGAACCACCAGTCACCACTTGGGGATGGGCTGGGCATCAGTCAGTAGGTAGCGAACAGTTGTGCATCACTTGTGTTTCTTGGGTTTTGCTAATCTCTTTTTCTTTTTCATTGCTATTACTATTACTGTTGTTATTATTTTACATTGTTTTACTTTATTTCAGTTATCTGTAGAACAGTGCTCATTGTTTACTACTACTGCTAGCTGAGTTAGGTGCAGTCATGACATGTTTAAATGACATTTTGCTTTGCTTGCTTTCATCCGTTAACTAAATATGTTGCAGCAAAATTTACTGAGATGTTGTCCCAATTCGATTGATAATGAGCGTCTTGAATTATTTGGTGTATGCAGATGAGCTGGAGGAAGATGAGGAAGAATCTGACATGGAGCTAGAGCGACAAAATATTGAAGAGCTTTATGACTTTGTAAGACACACCCATCAGCAGGATATCCAGTTACTTAGAAAGGATGTGCAGCATCCTGCATTAATTCCCATTCTGAGGCCGTACCAAAGTGAGGCTGTGAATTGGATGCTTCACCGAGAGAACTACACAAACACCCCAAGCAGTGGCAAGTATATGGATCTGGAAAACTTGCATAATTGAAGAAAGTGTAATTGTATTGTCAGCAGTAATGTTTCCTTGCTGTTTGATTAGAAGTTTTGTTAATTATTTCTTTGCTAATTTGGTAGAAGTTGTTTGGTTAGTACATTAAATGATAAGCTATGTCTTGCTGAACAGCAGTGGATGTACCTTGTTGGTCATGAAGCTCCATGGAGGTAGACTTCACCTTTTTGTCTCTAAATGTCACAATAAGGCTGAACAATTCTAAGCAGTGTGCTGTTTATAAAGAAACCTCACAATAGTAACATGAACACTTTCTTTGTAGAAAATGCACTGCACTTCTTATGGCGGGAGGTGATTACTCTGGATGGAGTAAAAATCTACTATAATCCATTTACTGGCTGGTATGTTTTTATAGTTACTCTTTCTGAGAATGCCTTATGGTTATACTTCATGAAATCCTCATTGGTAGCTTTATCCTGAAGAATATAGGATAATCCACATCTCCTGTTTCAGTTAGCAACTAAAGAATTAGAACAGTAATATCTTTATTTTAAAAAAAGGACAAACTGGAATATATAGTGCACAGATAAATTTGTAAATCTCAAGTTGAAGATGTAATTCTTAAAGTTTTTGTTTGTTTTTTAATTTCAATAAATTTGTGGTTTAATATTAGCATCAGACCATTGGAGACTTTGACCTTCTTATCCAGTGTGTTTAAAGTCTAAAGGAAGGGGGCAGTATAATGCTTTTTATTAAGGCTAGGTATTGCATTATTAAATCTGTTTCTTTTTTCCCATTAATTTGGTTGGAATAGAACCTTTTGATTGCTAGTTTGCATTCTATTTTTCCTTGTATAACTTTCAGATCTGTGACATCTGAATGTAAAAATATTTCAATTTTTAGAGACAAATGTTATGATATGCTAAGGTTAGCAGGGTAAGGCCTATTAGGAGTTGAAAATTTCTAAAATTCCTGGTGTACATAATTGTCTTGATCAGGTTTATACACTCAAAAAGCTTTCTAACACTTCTTAATCTCATCTAAACTAACCAAAGATAATGCCCCACCATACAAACTTTGCCTTGCTAAAGCTGTGCTGCACGTTTCTGAACATTTGCTTTTGTCACACCATTCTGTAGTTACTGACTTTCATTTGGGAATGCACTTGAATTTTAGTATTATCCGTGAATACCCAACTGCTGGACCCCAGTGGCCTGGAGGTATTTTGGCAGATGAGATGGGCCTTGGAAAAACAGTAGAAGTGTTGGCTCTTATTCTGAATCATACTGGACCAGACATTAAACAAGATGATCTGACATTACCTGAGGTAAGGAAACAAGGATGATAGTTATTACGAAGAAAATGCTTTTCAGAATTAATGCAAATGCACTTCTCTTGAGTTTATTGCTTTCTGGTTTTGTAGCACTCTGTATTTAAAGCTGTATTGCAAGGACATTTTTTCCTTTGTAGGACATGATACTTGGTGGCATAAATCGTGGAATAGTTTGCATGAGAAGCAGTTGATAGTTTGCCATTGTTCAAGGGTGTTATCAGGCAGCTGCACAGCTTATATCATTTACACAGGCTTCAGGAGTGTATAAGTATGTTAGTTTGCTATGTTGGATGTCATTCTCTGCTTCACTTCTTTGTATTGATGAGTGTCAAACATCCATTAGACATATGTTCTATGCTAAAATAGGGACAATTTACACTCAGTAAATAAAGATTTCTGCTCTCCCTCTATTTCATACAATAAGTGGGCTTATTTAGCAACATTTTTACATCTTTTCACTTTCTTCATCATTCATACTGTAAAAACTTAGCACATTCACTAAAACCAAAAATTCTTTCTGAAGGAAGAGAACCATTGTTAAGTAACCTCTTACCACTTCATGGGTTCCATATCTGTGAATTCATGGCAGCATGTTTCATTTTACATCTATTCATAATGGTCTCCTGCCTGCTTGTAATTTTGTCAGTTAAAAGGACTCAATTCTCTGAGAGAAAAGGATGAATCTTAAATGTATGAGAGAGTCAGAACTGAGGAGTATGAAGAGGGGAGTGTAAGCACTAAAGCACGTGGACATCGACTGATGACAGTAGCTAGAGGCTATAACTTTTGGAGAGCTGGAGTTAGTGGAACTGTTTCGTGATACAAGTAGTTGGGACAGACAGCTAATATTTTGGGACCTTTATAAGCAGAATTGTATGACATTGCCTGTGGTTGAAAGGTAGTATTCCATTCATCCAGAAGGCCCCTTGTTATTTGTATTTTTGTTGTCTTCAAATATAAAATGCCTTTGTATGATGTCCTGAAAAAAAAACAAACAAAAATAAAACCAGAAGTGGTTTATTCCACCAGAGACTTTTTGGATGACTCCTGGGTTGTGAAAGCCAATGTCAGAGTTACTTCCAATTATTTCAACTCTCTGCAGGATTCAAACAATATCTGGAATTTCATTGCAGTTACTATTTAAGAACCCTACAGAGCAGCCAATTGGACAGGACAGAGTGAAGTGTCAATGGATACAGCTATGAAACACTTAATAATAGAAAGATCGGCACTGTGGTTTTTTCCAACTTTGAGATTCTTTTTTTACATGCCAGTTTTTGAGTATATGTTTCCTTGGATTGGCTCACTATTCCTGAGTCACTAATAATAGAGTAAAATTGGGAGGGGCAATCCCTAAAAGGAAAAACTTACTCTTTATACAACTAACTAGGGTTTTCCTCTGTATTGGTTACCTCCTTTTTTTGTTTCTTGCTGTACAGTAAATATATATTTTCCTCCCCCATCAGTAACCTAGTTCACTTACAGCTATACATTCCTGCAAATTATTTCCGAAGCAGTGAAGGACCCCAAAAGGCCTGCAAGGCTTCTTGTTCTGTTCTCAGTGTAGGTGCTGAACCCCATTTGCCAAGAAACTGAATGGAATGAGGTGTCATTCTGTACATTAAAAATGAGCTATCTGAGCAAATAAGTGAGATCAGAACATATATCTGTAGCAGCTTATGCTTATTTTCAAATGTGAAAACATTAGTGAAGGTCAGAGTGACTATGAAGAGACATGAGCTAATAACTATTTAATGTTCCTCTGCATTAGGGTAAGCTTGTGAACTTCTTTGTTCCTCCTCAACCTTTAGAAGGAAATAAAAAGAAAAAACCAAAGGAAATGGAGCCTAAATTGAAGGAAAAAATACAATATCCCAGTAAGTATTTCTGATGACTTGTAAAATACGTTTTGCTTTTGGCATTAAGTCTTATATTGGCCACTGGCTATGAGTTCAAGGTTAGTCTTCACTTCTTCAGAATGAAATTATTCTTTTGCTGGGCACTGTCACATGGGATTGCATGCTACAAACAAGTAATCCACAGTTAAAAGTAAAGTTAACAACTCAGAACTCTGAGCTACAGAGCTACATATAACTAAAGGTCTTTGTAAAAGAGTTCATGCATTTAACTGAAATACACTATCTTTTTTACGCCTCAATGAGAAAATTGAGTGACTTATTTCTATTGCTGTCAAATAT